CATCACCTTCAAAATCTAAAGCCCAAGGACAGCAGATTTATGGGAATACCACCATATCCAAGTCATGGGGTTTATGTTTCATCGTCGCTGGGTCAAAATCCAGGAGCACACCACAAAACAACATTAATCTCCTGGATTGCAACAGTTCAAGAAAGATGACTCAACACTTTTTTCAGGAGCAATTGGAGATGGGCAATAAATGTTAGCCTGGCCATATCTGGCGAATGAATAGAACATGCTGAATCATTTAGCAGAGTAAAAATGGGAATAAATACCTCGTATTGCTAAAGAAACGTTATGTGTTGTCAAAGCTTTTCCTGTTGCACTCTTTAGGACAGATGCAAGAATGTTAAATTTCAAACGGAACAACAATTTATACTGCATGAGGATGGGGACGTGTGGACGAGAGACCTGTGGCATTGAGTGCACACTGAGGGATAACATGTGGGTTCAGTTTGGAGACTTGCGAGAGTTAGATTCAGATGACGGGGGACTGGAGTGGAGAGTGGGGCAATGGGGGAAGAGACTGTGAGAGTGGACACATAGGGGAGACTTTTGGTGGTGAGTTAGAGATCTTTGAGAGTTTACTGGAGGGGATGGCAGTGGAGTTAAGAGTGGGCTAATGGGGAAAGCCGTGAATCTATGGGTGCAGTGGGGAAGCATGGACGCAGGCTGGAGACCTGTGAGAACTGCAGTCGGATGGCAGAAGGGTGAAGAGGGGGTAGAATGACACATGGGGGTGGGTTAGAGAGCTGGATGGAGGCCTGGGGTTTGGGAAGAGGGTTGTGCTGTAAAAGTAAGTGCCATTCGGGGTCAGAGGGAGGGCTGTCAAAACTCAGGCAGAGACCAGAGACAGCCTCGCAACTTGTGATCCCTTGACTTGGGTTCCTGAGTAGTCCTAATGTAGTTTCTAGCCAGTGTGACTAGGGGCCTGACTGATAATCTTAGAAACATAAAAACAATGAGTAGGCGTAGGCCATTCAGCTCTGCCATTTAAATGATCATCGTAGATCCTCTATCGCAATGTCATATTCCTGCTTTCTCTCCATACCCTTGATGCCTTCAAAAATCTTAAAATATATCTATTCCTTTCTTGAATGTATTCAGTGACTTGGTTGTTGGTGTAATCCTTAGTAATCACTATTAATTTTTAAAATCCATAAGATCTTAAGACGAATGGAAGCCATTCAGCCCATCAAGTTGGCTCCACCATTCGATGAGATTGTGGCCAATCATAAGACCAATAGAAATAGGAACAGGAGTAGATCATTAGGCCCCTTGAGCCTGCTTCGCCTTTCAACAGAATCATGGCCTGTTCGACATTCCTCACATCAACTTTCCTGCTGTTTTCTATAATTCTTGATTTCCTGACTGATCAAGAATCTATCTATCTCAGCCTTTCTGATTCACAGCTCTCTCTGGCAAGGAGTTCCAAAGACTTACAACCCTGAGAGAAGAAATTCCTCCTCAATCCTCAACTCCACTTTCCTGCATTTCCCCCATAATCCTTGATTCTCTTACTGATTAAAAAATGTCTGTCTCATTCTTCAATATACTAAATGACCCAGTCTTGATAGCTGTCTGTAGTAAAGAATTCCACAAGTTCCTACCCTCTGAGAAAAGAAATTCCTCCTCATTTCTGACTTAAATATATGACTTCTTGTTCTGAGATTATGCCCACTGCCCTAGATTTTTCCACAAGGAGAAAAGTCCTTTCTGTTTCTACCCCATCAGAGAGCTTTATCCTTTGTTGGAGTGTTAAGTTTATCCTCTGTTAGATAGGAAGACCAAAACTCCATGCAATGCTCCAGGTGCAGTCTTACCAAGACCCATATAACTATAAGACATCCCTACTCTGAACTCAAATCCTCTTTCAATGAAGGCCAATACAGGATGTGGTGTTGCTGCATTGGTATTGTCAATAAGTTAGTATTTCAAACCACAGGTTGAGGTTTTGGTGACATAAGTGTGAATTCTCCCCTGGCAGATAGTGTAATTTGAATTCAATAAAAATCTGGAATTGGAAGCTAGCTTAATCGGAACCACTGTCATTTGCTGTAAAAACCCAGTTTGAGACTCTTGAGGGAAGGAAATCTGTCAATCTTGACGAGAGCTGACACAGGTCTTAATCAGAATCTGAGGAAGGGTCACTGGATTCGAAACATTAACTCTGCTTTCTCTCCATAGGTACTGCCAGACCTGCTGAGTTTCTCCAGCAATTTCTGTTTTTGTTTGTTGCAGATTATTTTCTTGGATTCATTCATGAGGGCATCGTTGGCTAGGCCAGCATTTATTGACCATCTCTAATTGCCCAGAGGGCTGTTAAGAGTCAATCACATTGCTGACGCTCTGAAGTTACATGCAGGCCAGACCAGGTAAGGACATTAGTGAACCAGATGGGTTTTTCCTGACAGTGATCATTAGACTCTTAATTTTAGAGTTTTATTGAATTCAAATTCCCACGGCAGGATTCGAACCCAGGTCCACAGAACTTTACCTTGGTCTCTGGATTAACAGTCCAGCAATAATGCCATTAGGCCGTCACCTCTCCACATCCTCATTCCATTTCCAGCATCTGCAGTTCTTCGTTTCACATTAATCTGTCATTGTTGACTGGCCTAGCAACAACAATGTGACTTTTAAACTGCCCTCTGAACGGGTCCTAACAAGCAACTACGATATATAAGATGCTAAAGGGAATTGACAAAGTAGGTGTGGACAATCCAGATTGAGAGGTCGTAGTTTTAGCATAGGGGTAGCTGATTTAAAACAGGGATGAGGATGAATAACTTCTCTCAAGGGGTTATGAACCTGTGGAATTCACTGCCCTGGAGTGCAGTAGATGCCGAGACATTGAGTAAATTTAAGGAGGAGATAGACAGATATTTAATTAGTAATGGGTTGAATGGTTTTGGGAGTGGGAAAGAAAGTGGAGTTAAGACTGAGATGAGATTAGCCATGATTTTATTGAGTGGCTTAAGGGGATGTATAACCTACTCCAGTTCCTAGTTCATAGGACAATTAGAGATCAGCAATAAATGCTGGCCCAGCCAGAGATGCCCACATTGTCATATAAACTCGCTAACAGGTATGTTTGTCAACCGAGGAAATCCCATGGTACTGGTCACAGGTTCTGTGGGTCCTTGTGTGGCTGATGAGCCTGATCCTAGAGCCACATCGCCAACCTCACTATTGGCAGGTGTTTCTGGGAGGTAGAAGTGGTCCTTGGCCTTGAGGTCTCTTGCACTCCTTTCCCTGTTCCTTTTCTGTACTTCCTCTTACTGACAGGTGTTTTCAAAGAACTGTGTCCTTTCATACAGAAGTTTCCTCTAAGTAGGTTTCTTCTGAAATAAGCCTTCAGCAAGTCTTTGAACTGTTTCCTTTGTCTTGCTCTTACAGAAGTGCCTTCCTTGAGCTGGGCTAAGATTTGCAGTCAGAATTCAGGCATCCTGAGCACTCAGTTCTGAAGTAGACCTGGGTTCGAATTGCTGGACTTGAAATATTCTGTCTGCTTTCTTCCCACAAATGCTGCTGAGTTTCTCCAGCATTTTGTGTTTGGTTCGTTTCAGATTGCAGGCATCCATAGTTCTTTAAGAAAATAAAGAAACCCAGAGTTAATGTTTAGAGATTCTTTGTTTTATTGTCCTAAGCATGTGCCCTGTCTAATGGGGAAGTTGGTTTCAGATGATCATGGTCTCAATGCTTGCTGCATTTACACACACATTGATTTATAGTATTCGCATTTCTTTCAGCTTGCTGCAATTAAACTGGTTGTCAGTGTAATTTGTAACCATCATGATTGTTTTTGAAGTTAAAGGAAGGGGAACTGGTCTGTGCAGGTGATGTCTGGTGTATATGAGGGGCACCACTGAGCAACAACATTTGACAGCAATATTTTGGAGGCGGGGGAGAGGGGGCTGTTGGGAAGGGGCGGGATGTGGGGAAGGGGCATGGCTGCAGTAAAGGAGGGTGGTGCTTCAAGGAAAGGGCAGGGTCCCATCAGCAAGGGGCCGGGAACCAAGGGGAAAACAGCAGGACCTCATAGAGAAAGGTGCGGGGTCTCAATGGGGTTCAAGGAAGGAGCGGGAACTCCCCAGTGGAGGTGGGATATCAGTGTGAAAAGGGTGGTGTCTAATAGGGAAAGGGACAGGACTAATTGGGAAGAAAACCAAAACAGAAGTTGTTGGAAAAGCTCAGCAGGTCTGGTAACATCTGTGAAGAAAACATCAGGGTTAACGTTTTGGGTCCAGTGACTCTTCCTCAAACTGATGAAAGCTGGGAAAACGTCGGTTTAAATGCAGAAAATAGGGAGGGGAATGGGGTAGGGAGTGAACGATAGGATAAATGATAGATCCCGAAGAGAGAGAAGAGCAGTTGGATAGACAAAGGAGTTGATAATGATCTGGCTAGGAGGGTGAATAGCTGTTAATGGGGACTTTTAGTGACTAACAATCGGTAGTGTGTAATAGTAGACTATGTGATAACAAGAGAACACAGTGTGGAGCTGGAGGAACACAGCAAGCCAGGCAGCATCAGAGGAGCAGGAAAGCTGACGTTTCGGGTTGGGACCCTTCTTCAGAAAAA